AGTGAAAAGGAGGATATGGGAGAAAGCAGTTTCAGTCAAACCATGAGGTCAGATTATAGATTGCCATGACTTGAGGAATGAATAGGTGGTGATGAGGTAGAGGTAGTGAATGTAGGCTTTTCGTTTTGAAAGTATAGCAGGGAAGGGGAGAAGAGATATACCTTGAAGGCAAAATGGTGGCTTGGGGAAGGAAAATGAGAGACATTCTCACATATTTAGGGAACAGGAAAGGACTGCGCAGATGGTGCAGAAATACATGAGAGAAAGAGATGGAACGATAAATGGAGACAATTCCAAATGGAGATAAAGAGCCTTCATGGAAGGCTTAACACTATAAAAGAAGAAAGCTACCTCTTATCCTGTAGCAAAGGAGAAGATAGTTGAATACATACAAAGATTGTGACATGTGGAGGATGGGAGAAGAGGGAGTTTCACAATGCAAAGTCTCAATTTTCTCAGGATAGTAAGCAGAGGCATCATCAGCTCAGAGAAAGGAGAGCCAAGAAATAATGCAGGGCTTGGAGAATGGCTGAATAGCTGCTGCGGAGAATGTGATAGGGAATCATTCAGATACAAAGAAAAGAATTCTCACATACAAGTGAGGGCCTAATTGCTTGTCCTGCCTCCCTAACAGAGTGGTTAAAAGTATCAAATGGGGCAACGTATGAGAAAAGGTTTTGAATACTATGAAGTGCTATATAAATATAAGATACTGTTCCTATACCTCTTTAATCTCTTGTACTGCATGAAGTCTATATTACAGCTTTGGGACTAGGAACTGGGTCTCAGCTTCCAAGATACGTGGTGATTGGGTATATATGCTTGGGAACATGCCTGATAACCTGAATAAATCTTCAAGCCATAGTTTCAGAGTTAAAGAAACTTTAGAGACCCCTTCATCTGATCCCCATATTCTGGCCAAGAGAAATTAAGTGACTAATCCAAGTGGATAGAATCACAGAATCTGAGAGCTGGAAGAGGCCATTTAGTGTAACTGACACATAAAAAGAATCTCTACTCTAATATCCCTGACCAGTGATCATTCAGCCTCTGCTGGAAGGCCTGCCAGTAGGGGCAGCCTATTTCCTTTTGGGACAGCTCTATCAGGAAGGTTATCCTGACATCAAGGCTAAATCTGCTTTTTTCATTACTCCTGGATCTTCCATCTGAGGTCAAGTAAAACATATTGAATATTTCAGCTGCATTGTATCCACAGATACAATATCCATCACCCACCTCAAATCTTCTCTCCTTTCTTGAAGTTAAACAACCATAGATCTTCAACTGTTGGTCATATGAGGGACTCAAGGTCCTTTCCTATCTTTGTAGCTTTCTTCTGGATACTTTCCAGCATAAAAATGTCATTAAACTGTGGTGCCCAGAATTGAATACAGTATTCCAGATGAGTTCTTGGGAAAGCATAGTAGAGTGGGGCTATTAACCTCTCTATTTTTGAAAGCTATGCCTCTCTTAATACAGCCGTAATCAAGTACTATCTATTTGATGGCAGACCATTTGGTTACAGAGTTGGGATTAGAACCCAAGTGTTCTAAATTAATTTGTACTCATAGTTTTTTTTCTAATCTTACAAGCCCAAATATTTTGATGTTCTAATATTAAAAGGTAATATAATAAGCTGGAGTTAGATATGACATCCTATTTGGGGGGCCATGTTACAAATGGAACATTGGCAAACTAGAGGACATCTTGAGTGGAGTGAACAAGAAAACAAACAAAAGAAACCAATGATATTGATCAGGGAAAAGTGAAGACTTTGGTGAGCTGCACAATTACAGGATTTTGGGACGAGAAGGGATGTTAGCATCAATAATCCATTCCCTTCCTTTTATAGATATTAAGGGCTAGAGAGGCCAAAGTCGCACAGAGAATTAGTATCAGAGCTAAGACTAGAAGAGAGTGCAGTTATCCTTCTGTTGGGGTGGGGCTCCAAATGGCCTAATCATTGTAACAGACTGTTAACCCTTCCATTACATCATGCTGCATATTTCAAACACTTGGAGAGTTTAGAAGTGGGAGAGGGAAGGTTTGTCTTCTGTTATATCAAACACGGAACTAAGATAAAGTAGGGCAAGGCCTAGAGGGAGAGATTTCAGCTAAGGCTTAGGAATCATAACTGTTAGTGCTATTCAGCACTGGAATAGGGGCCTCAAAAATATTGGACTTCCCATCTCTGGGAATATTCCAAGGTTGGATAGAAAGACCTAGTATTTCTAAAGCACTTTAAGGTTAAAAAGGTTCTTTAAATGTTTGATTTTGTTTGTTCTTTAATAAACATGAAAGGTTAGGTGTCTAATTTGCAGCAGAGGAGACTAAAACTCAGAAAATGTAACTCCTCTAAGATCACACAGAGTGTAAATTATATTCTTCCTGGTCTTCCCAATTTCAACTGCAGCACTCTATCCACTACCCTTCACTGCCTGGTGGAGGGTAATTGTCTACCAGGATACTGGATATGAGATTTCTTCTTTATATAGGAGTTTAAACAAGCTGACTCTAAGATTTTTTCAACTGTAATATTCTGTAGGTTACTTCTACTCTGTTGAGAAATGAGATATTGCCTAGGCCCTTATTGTATACTTTGTCAACTTCTGATCTCCACATTTTAAAAAAAAGGTTCTTGAAAATTCTAGAAAATAGAGAGTAGCAGCAAATACAGTTGAATGTAGGGGAGTTGTGGTCTTTGAAGCTAAGTAACCTGATAATGAGCTTCAAGAATTTGAAAGATTAGTTTCAGGTCACTGACCAATTGTTCTCTCCTCCTAATGATCAAGAGATCAAGAGAAATTATGGTTAAATTCCCAAGAGAAGGTTTGCCTAAAAAAGAAAAACAGCAGTCCAATTATCAGGGAACATTTATAGAGTTGGAAAAAGAAACTGAGGCACAGGTTTTGCAGTAAAAAAAAAAAAAAGGCCAGGGGTTACAATGGACAAGATAATGCAAGATAATGCCCCGAAGAACCCCAAGCTGGTGGACCTGACCATTATTTTGTGCTCAGAAGACCTGCCCTCTTCCCTTCTGTTAACACAATTGAGGAACCAAATCATCAGTGTGCCCTGAAGGGGAAGCCTATTCAATACTCCCCAGAGAGTTTTAAATACTGGGTTGAAAAACTTCTGGAAGAAAAGAGGTTAGGCATGCAACCACAGAGGGTTTTACAGAATGACCCCTTGATAACTCTTGTAGCTCTAAAGGTTTTGATTCCCAGACATTGAAGGCTTGCTGAGGCTCTATTTATAAAGAAACAAGCAAACCAATAAATAAATCTACGACCACCCCCATCCTGAAAAGTCAACATGTTTGCTCAAAAGAGCTTCAACTAAATTAATTCCATGATCTGGGCTGTCAGTTTTTCTGGTTCACAAAAAGAAACAAATACCCTTGCAGAGTGGAGATATTTTTTGTTTCGCCTTTTGAAGATTCATCTTTTCTTGCTTTGTAGGGATTTTATCATAATTTCATGCCCTTAGACTTTGCAGTTTATTACTTGGCCTATTACTCTTACGTTTAATGTAATAAGTTTCAAGTTTCTGTAATATTAATTTTTGAATTTATTTCTTTAAAATTTTTGATTTCTCACACTTGCTGCTTCGAAGTTGACAATAACATCCCGAGCCTGGCCTATTGCTGGTGGGTTTTCAACTTCTCATTTAACAGCAGCATCTGCCACCTCGAAGTTGCTAAATAGCTTTTTTTTCACCAAATGGGGCACCTTCTCAAGTTTGCTTTTCCGTCCCATTTTAACAGGATGAACCTCTGGCTTTTGGAGCTAATTGGCCCATCCACACAGCTGGGCCATTTATTTTGGATATTACTCTCTTGGCTTCCTGGAGCTTCCGAACACCCATCTTTCCACTAATGTGCAGGGGATTGAATTACTTGCCCAGCAATTGTAATAGGAGTTTTGGTGGGACTCCTATAAACACAAGGGCAGGAGAGGTTTTTGTTTCTGGGTCTCCTTTTCCTCCCCAGAGTGTGACAGTCCTGTTCTTTATTCAAATGTGGTCTTTAATGATATGATCAAGGTTACAATGTGACCTCAACAGGTTTTGTGTGTTTGTAATTGTTGTTGCTGTGGTTGTTTTGGGGGGGAAGAATCTGGTCTCATAATTTTATCTATGTAAGGAACTCCCAGAATGGAGACATCTTTCACTGATTGTCTTTTAGTGTTTCCTGAGGGTATGGTTAAGCTGTATGCCTGTGGGGGTCAGAGGAAACACCTGAACTCAGGTCCTGACTTCAAGAGACTAGCATTCTGTCCACTAAGAAACAACGAAAGTTTGAAAAACAGTCAGTCAGTCGTATCACTGGGCTAATTTAGGCTCTCAGTGCAGAGAGGGGCAGTAATGTGTGGAGTAAATCTGTCTCTAATGTCACTAAGACAGGAGTCAAAACTTGTGAGCAGGCAAAGAACCCAAAGACCAGGGGCTCTTAACCTCATGTCTGTGAACTTGGTTTAAAAACTTTTTTTTTTTTGATTACTACATTTCAATATAATTGGTTTCCTCTGAAATCTTCGGTCTTTTGTTTTATGAATTTAAAATCATTATTCTGAAAAAGGGTTCATAGGTTTCATCAGACTGGCAAAAGGGTTCATCCATGACACATAAAGAGTTAATAACCCCTGCCTAGAGGATTTTTGGGGACAAAGATGGATTAGATTGAAGCAGGACCTTGGGTGGGAGCAAATGAATTTATTTTATTCCTAAACTGAGGTTTCAAGAAAATAATACTATTTTTTTTAAATGCCCCTGTTATTTCAGTCCTTTTAAAGTGAGTTGGCTGGGGATAGATTGAACAGATCGAAGGCCCTGACCAGAGTACTTACTGATAAGGTTTTGCAAGGGGCTAAAACTGAAGCCCAGCCTTCATGTGCCCTTGTAAGGCAAGGGCTCAATTCACACAGTGAGAAGGAAATAAGAAGTACCGTTTCTTAGATGATTTCACACTAATAATGTCATTACTGAGCAAATCTACTCACAGGTGTTGGCCGTGCCTTTGGGGATGGGGAGGTACGAGCCGGGGCTCCAAGGTCTGCCCTGATAATTCTTCTTGCATTTCCCACAGTCGGGGCCTGTAGTGTTGTGCTCACACTCACAAGACAATTTATTGTTGTCAAAGACACACACAGTGGCGTGAAGGTTACACTTGCACCTAGCAAAGAAGAGACAAGGGTGTCATTTCAAGTCAAGGTGTCATTTTAGCAGCCAATATGGCTCCACTCAACTACCCCTTTTAATAATAGACATTTGCTCTACATTATGAGGGTGGGGGTGGGGGATAAAACACTCTATCAGGCAGCATTTCCAAGTTGGTATCTACAGTTGTTAACATCTTACAGTCATAGGCTTATAGATTTTAAGCCCGAAGGGACCTTAGAAATGATCTAGTCCAATCTCCTCATTTTGCAATGAGGAACCTGAGGTCTAGAAAGCTTAAGGGATCTGCCCAAGGTGAAAGACCAAATAAAGTGGCAGCACCAGTATTTGAACCTGATTTTCTTATCCAAATCCATCATCCTTTCCACCACGTTTGACTTAAAAAGTTTCTAGGTTTGCTCTTGCCTGATTTAGAAGGTACAAGGAAAGCAATGATGTCATCTAGATTCAGCAAATCTGGTAGACAGATTGGCCAGGATTATTCTGATGGTTTATTTTTTTTTTAATCAACATAAGTTAAATTGGATATTCAAACATTATTGCATTCAAAAAAACCCCCAATAACACGAAACAGTCAATAAACTCAAAGTGTTATCATTCCAGGCTCTGGGGAGGAAACTCAGTCCTGGAGTTCTTTTTGCAGAAATGTTTCACTTCTTTGTGAGGTCTCAAATTCATACAACGGATTTAGAATCTGACTTCCTAGCCTGATAAAAGGGGCAGAGGACTCCAGAAATTCAAGGATTTACTTTGAAAGAAAATGCTTAGAACCCTGGAAAATCAAAACATAAGCGGTGCATACGTTTGGGAGTCTTTAGCAAAGGTCCTGCCTTTTCTCCCGTGAGCGAACTGGTGATATATGAGCAGTAACAATGGAATATGCAATTCCCACAGAAATGTTACTATATCTAACATCTTTGACTCTAAAAATTGCAAAGGCCAACTTGCTATTTGTTGAGGCAGCAGGCCATAAATTGCACCTCACTGAGTGGTTGGCCAACTGTTCGGGAAAAAGAAAACCACATTTTACAGAATTATAGAGACCGGAGGTCAGAATAATGAGTGTGTGTATAGATGTGTACACGGAGAGAGAAAGATGCAGCTGCGTCTTTGTATTTGTGAATATAGGTGCTCTTAAGGGAATAAAAATACCCAGGACTGCCAGGGCCAGAAACAAAAATGATTACTGGATTTTTTAAATTCATTTTTTTTTCTTTTTCTCATAGGAATCTAGGTCACTGTCATTGTAGGAATCTGAGTTTCATATAGGACAAAGCTATGTGTTTTCCCCTTCCCCCCACCCAGTAGATGCCACGGATTGGGAAATAGCAGCATCTCTTAGTAATATGGCAAATGAGGCTATCTATCAAGTACTGGAGTGGACTTCTTTAATGATTCCCCTCCTGGGGCCCTGCCACCTGCTCAGAACACTGACCAATGACTACCAGCACGGAGCACATACCCAGGCTAAGAATGTTACTGAGGCCTGAGTCACAGCTGCCGAGCTGACTTGTAACTAAAAGGAAAAGGACCTTCAGTGGTATCTACCCATTCATTGCTCCCTTGGGTTAAACCTAAGCTGTAGCTTTCTTAAGGGTCTGCTGGAAGTCACCATACACTAAATGCATCCTGTCTAATGTTTGGTGATGAAATCTAACAGGCTGCAGTGGTGACATTTAAATAATACTCACTCTGTTTAGAAATGTAATCAACACTTTAAAAAAAAATAACATTTTCAAAAGTCATTTTTTAAACATGCCTAAAGGAGAGAGTTCTCTCTCCTTGTGAATGTTATACTTGTACCTAGCAGAGAGAAAGCTAGACAGAGATGGAGAGACAGAGACAGAGGCAGACACAGGCAGGGACAGAAAGAAACAGACAGGGGCATAAGCAGAGTGGAGGATGAGGAAGAGAAGGAGAAGGAGGAGAGGGGAGAGGAGAGAGAAGATGAGGGGAACAGTGGGGAGGAAAGGAAAGAGAGAGAGACAGAGGAAGAGGGACAAAAAGAGTTAGAGAAAGGCAGAAAGAGACAGAGATGGGTGATGAAATAAACAATGTTCAGGAATAAGTTGGATCTTGAAACTCTATGTTGCATGGAGTAAAATTTCTCTCTGGCCAATACTGACTCCCTTGATGTCCTATATAGCTCTGTCTATGACTGAAATCTGAGGGGTGAAATCACGGATTATAATGATTTAGCATCCTATCTGAAGCTGAAATTCCCCAAAGAGGAGAAAGCAGTTTAACCCCAAAGGATTTACTTGTGACATATTTGGAGATAAAAGATAGAACACCAATATAAATAGAATTCTGTATCTTGTAACTGCTAATGTTATTTCTACTCTGGTAAATGCTTAGAGGGGTCATCAGTACATTCCATTCTATAACTGACAGGAGTGAAAGAACACTCATTCTTCCTACTCTTTGCTACCATTGGCTCTCCCTCTGTCAAAGCTGACCCATCCTTTAAGCCGTAGCTCAATTTTCACCACCTTCATGAGACTTTCCCTGACCACTCCGGGCACATACTGATTTTCCACTTCTGAAGACTTCTGAAGTAGCTAGGCTACTTAGCACTTGTGAGTTGCAAGCTGCTTTAAAGCCTTTAAGGTCATAGATTTAGAGTAAGAAAAGACTGGAGCTCATTTAGTCTAAACCCTTTATTCTACTGATGAGGAAAATGAAGCCCAGGAAGGTGAAACAATTTATGTAAGGTCACGCAGATACTAAGTTGAAGAGTCAGGATTAGAACCCAGGTTTGCTCCTGGTTTATAACCTTAAAAAAAGATATAATCCTACTGTAGAAATTGTCATTATTATTTCCTTCTATTTATTAGAGTACTTTGATACTATGAACATTGATGGAGAGTTGGGAGGGATTTTATAGGTCACTTCATCCAAATTTTTCATTTTAAAGACCAGGAAGCTGAAGCCAGATTGGTTAATTAATGTGGCCAAGGCCATACAGTAAGTGGTAGAGCCACCCAGGTCTCCTGACTCCAAATCTTCCACAAGCTTCACTCTACCATGCTACACTCTTAGTCACCGGGACTCAGTCATCTGACTTTTTACCAGAGATGAGGACAAGAAAGCCCAAGAAAGAGAGAGGGAGGATGGGGTAGCATGAAATATAAAATGAGGGGGTTGGCCAAGATGAACTCTATGTTCCCTCCTAATTCTAACTATGACTACCAATCACATAGGCTCTAGAGCCAGTTCACATTGGCTCCTGAGAGCTGATTGTTAAATTTCCAGGGTGAGTATTTATACCTCAGAAGTCAGAAAACACTACAAATCAGTGCTTGATTTATTATCTTCTTGATTGTTTAGATTTGAGAAAGTGATGGGTAGAGAAAAAAATAATGCTGATTAAACTTAAAAGTGTGTCCTCTGGACATTTTTGAGAGCTGGTTGTTAAACATTCCTGCCCATAAGTAACCTTTGCTGAAAGTTGCAAAGTGAACCTTTTCTAACAACAAAGGTGCTACTCTAATCTAAGTCTCTAGCCTCCAAGGAAGGTCATTTTGTTGTTCAGTTGTGTCCAACTCTTTGTGACCCTATTTGGGATTTTCTTGGCAAAGATACTGGAATGGTTTGCCATCTCCTTCCTCAGTTCATTTTACAGATGAGGAACTGAGACAAACAGGGTTGAGAGACTTGCCCAGGATCACATAGCTAGTAAGTGCCTGAAGCCAGATTTGAACTCAGGAAGATGTGTCTTTCTGATTCCAGGCATGGAGCTCTCTCCACTGCACCTCTTAGCTGCCCCAAGAAAGGGTATAAAACTACTTTTATTTGTATGCCTCACTGATTCTATTATCTGTAATCACTTATTTGAGTACTTACTATCTGATAAGACTATTGAATTGGGATGTGTGTACATGTGGAAGTGTGCATGTGTGTGTGTGTGTGAGAGAGAGAGAGACAGAGACAGACTACAGAGAGAGACAAATATATACAAGCAGAGATCTCTAATCAGAATGTAAGTTCCTTGAAAAAGGTGATGCGACAGATTTCTTTCTATCCTGTACAAGTTCTGGTCACATAGTAAGTACATTACATAAAATAATGGAACTAAATATCCAAAAGTTTCCTATGGAAAATGAAACTTGCCCTTGAATTTTATATACAAAAGCCATCTATTATGAAGTACGCAGATTCTCCAAAGATGGGTGAGATGTCAGAAACCTAATTCAATTCAAATCCATCCTAAAAGGATTTTCCAACTGCCTGACATCTGAAATTTGACAATTATGTAAAAGAAATGTTTGGATGCTCCTAAGGATAGCATAGGGACATAAAAAGGCTTGTAGGAGAAAAAAAAAAGAGAAACACAAATCATTTATTGATTTCAGGTTCTCTATGTGCCTCTTGCATCTCAATGAATATTTAATTTAATTGGAAGGAACACAAGATTGTATTTTTAGAATTAGATGGGACGTTCTACCATCTACTCTAATTCCCATATTTCACAAATGAGGAAACTGAGGCCAGGAAAGTTGTGACTTGCCCCAAATGAAAAGTCAATCAATAAAGCTTCTATTATGTCCCTACTATGTGCCAGGAATTGTGTGAAGCACTGGGGATGCAAAGGCAAAGATGGAAATAATCCCTACATTCAAGGAACTTCACACAGGCAGTAAGTGAGATTTGAACTTGAGTATCATGACTCCATAGAGCACTCATTCCATTGACCAGTCTGCAACCTGTTCAGCACTATACTGGGTGTTTTAAAGGATACAAAGGTATCTTAGGATATATTCCCTGCCTTCAGGAAACTTAGGCATATTGGGGGAGGCAAACTAGACACACATGAAAGTAGTAGAGCCTGTTGGTGGCTTTTCCAGCCTGAAGTCTCTCCCCACTCCAATCCATCCTCCAACCATCAAAGTGATGTCACATCCCTACTCAAGAAACTGCAGTGGCTCCCTATCACCTCCAGGGTCAAATACAAAATTCTCTGGAGTTCAAAGCCCTTCATAACTTAACCTCTCC